CGTAGTGTACGTGTGGTTGTGTGTGTGTATATATATATATATATATATATATATATATATATATATATATGTGTATTAATTGAATATAAAAAAACTGTGACCCTGTTCAGTCTTTAGTACTGCATAATCCACTCAAAAATCAAACTAACAATGCTGTAATAACTAGTGTAATTTTAAAGACCCTTTGTGTCCTTTTCAAACCTTTTTTTTGGTGAAATGCTGATACCATGTGATATCAATGTTTTATATATATGTACAAAGAAAAAGGTGAATAATTTTCAAAGATTTTAATATGCACATATATACTTCTGTGCTTTCTGTTGTAGAAAACGCTGGGTGTTGTTTCCACCAGAAGATGTTGCACATTTGTATCCAACACGTATTCCATATGAAGAATCCAGTATCTTCAGTGAAGTTAATGTTACTTGTCCCGATCTTTCTAAACATCCCAAGTTCCGGGTAAGATGTTTAATAACTACTCTTGCTCATTCTTAGCAAAATAAAAGTGTTTTCTATGATGTATCTTAACATATTTTTTTTAGTTTAATTTATATTATCATAAGCTGAGGTACCCATCCTTAGTCTGGGTTATGAACTCAAAAGAATGTGGGGGTGGATGCTATGATAAGTAAAACAAAAATCCTAACTTTCACACAATTTATTTATAACATAACATTTTATTACAGTTTTCATTATTTCCTCACCAAAAGTTTTGTATAAGCTTTAAGAACTCAATGTGTATATACTTTAAACGTGGTATACACTGTGTGATGGTCAAGGTGACTTTGTAGGAAGAGGTAGTGGCGGTGGGGTGCTTTTTGTTACCCACTTTCAACACTTGGCTCTTAATGTCCTTCCACAATGTTTGACATGATTAATTAACCCTTTCAAGATGGGTCACAAATGAAAGGCCATGTCATCTCGTACTATACATTACTCAATTTCTTAATTTAAAAGTAAGTATTAAAAATACACAAACATCGATTTTTGTGTGTCATGTGGTATGTTGAATGCAGCACTGGTTCAAATTAGATGTTTATGAAGTCAAAAATACTAAATCTATAGTTTTGTACGAATAAGAAACTCAAATTACTGATATTGACAAGCTAGAATATAAAATAAAAAGTCTTGTTATTTCAATTTGCTAAGATATTGCTCATGTAATAAATCAAACACAGT